AACTCTCGGTTATCGACCTCAACGGTCTCGACCCTCGATTCTCGACCTCAACGGTCTCAACTATCGATTCTCGACCTCGATGGTCTCAACTATCGGTTCTCGACCTCGACGGTCTCAACTCTCGGTTTTCGACCTCAACGGTCTCGACTCTCAGTTCTCGACCTCAACGGTCTCGACTCTAAGTTCTCGACCTCAACGGTCTCAACTCTCGATTCTCGACCTCAACGGTCTCAACTATCGGTTCTCGACCTGAACGGTCTCTACTCTCGGTTCTCGACCTCAACGGTCTCAATTCTCGATTCTCGACCTCAACGGTCTCAACTATCGGTTCTCGACCTCGACGGTCTCAACTATCGGTTCTCGACCTGAACTGTCTCAACTCTCGGTTTTCGACCTCAACGGTCTCAACTCTCGATTCTCGACCTCAACGGTCTCAACTATAGGTTCTCGACCTCGACGGTCTCAACTCTCGGTTTTCGACCTGAACGGTCTCAACTCTCGATCTTCGACCTAAACGGTCTCGACTCCCGGTTCTCGACCTCAACGGTCTCTACTCTCGGTTCTCGACCTCAACGGTCTCAATTCTCGATTCTCGACCTCAACGGTCTCAACTATCGGTTCTCGACCTTGACGGTCTCAACTATCGGTTCTCGACCTGAACTGTCTCAACTCTCGGTTTTCGACCTCAACGGTCTCAACTCTCGGTTCTCGACCTCAACGGTCTCAACTTCCGGTTCTCGACGTCAACGGTCTCGACTCTCGGTCTTTGACCTAAACGTCTCGACTTTCGATCTTCGACCTCAACGGTCTCGACTCTCGATCTTCGACCTAAACGGTCTCCACTCTCGGTTCTTGACCTCAATGGTCTCGACTTTCGATTTTCAACCTCAACGGTCTCTACTTTTGGTTTTCGACCTCAGCGGTCTCTCGAATCTTGGCTTTCGGTGCTTGACCCCAGTGGCGGGTCACTTAAATTTCGACTTCTACAACCATTCAGTTTTCAGTGTTTGACTCCAGCGGCGAGTTATTCTACTTCACTCTTGGATCGAGTTATGCTCACTCGACCAGAGTGGGGGGGACTAGATGATATAGCCACAACTAGTATTGCCGGCTCGAACCGGTAGTATCTGATATAGCATGTCGTACCCGACCGGTTTTTATGGATATATATTGAAGAATACGCCTATAAATGGGCTAAGACACTTGATATGATAATATGGGCCGAGCCCAACCTAAGCCAGGCCCAGCATGGATTATAAGGTATGCTCCCCCTATAAAAAGGGGGAGAAGGTGCTCATTTCCTCCATTCTCTACTCATTCTCTTATTACACTTCCTCTCTCTACACTCTCTCTCTATATGCACTCTCATATGGATCATGTACTGACTTAAGCATCGGAGGCCCAAAGCCGGGCACCCCTCCCGGGGTCTCGGACTTTGGGTTTTTGCAGGTACGGTGGCCGTCCGAGTCGAGGGAGCCGGGATCTTTGTCCCATCACCAGTGTTATCTTCAATGGTTAGTGTAAACCTACATCTGCAGCAAGTGTTTTAACTGCACTGTAAATTATATTTTGAAACAAAATGTTCATAGTATTGCCTACATTTGATTATCTCCATACCTAGGCTCGACTGGTCCTTCTGCATTGCAATGAGGGCATGTTACCATCCATCCAATTTGGGCACGAAGAGTTTTCTTGCAATTATGGCAAGCCGTGAACCAGTAGGATGTCTGTCCATATGCTAGACCAGCCTTGCCTCGAACCCATGCCGTTTTTAGCTGAATATATTGGATGCAATTAATATTTGTTTAATGCATGGAATAGTATTTTTTTACAAAGCAGTTAGTTATATAAAGAAAAGCAATACTAACAATGTGCAAATTCTTCAATGCTGAGCACACGGAGATAATATCTGATTCATTCGGTGGCGGTAACAGAAATTCAGCGCTTTCATAGACCTTCAGTTTTAGCTGTTGATTGACCTCTTCTTTGTGGTCAATGTACCTATTATATTTCAATGTTATTGACTGCAACAATACATCAAGATTATAAATGTGTAGGTAATATGTGAGGTGGTATTTGTTACCATTGCTTGAGAGCAACAGCCTCTGCCATGGGAGGATTTATCATGATTGTGCCCAAAGGAGTTGTTGAGATCGACAATACTGTGCAGAGTTAAAATTCAAATAATGTGTATATTTAAACAAAATGTTAATGAGATTTTATAAGTACAGTCAAAGGCATGACAGGCTTACGATTAAAAGTGGTTACCCTGACCCTTGTTGCGACAATAATGTTACCAGTAGGCAATGTGTTCGCTAATTGTTGACCTTCTTCTTTTGCAAATTCATTCCACAGTGTGAAAATGATAGGTCTGTTCCTGTTCAAAGGCATTGTATAGAAGTAAGTATTTGTACATGCGATGTCGTGGCATATAAATTAGAAAAGATGCATTAATTTTACTCTGCATTGACGATGACAAGATCTTTTGTAACACCCCATATCAGTTTCGCAAAGTAAAAATGTTTAGTTTTCACAGACTTTGCGAATAAATGCGCTACTCTGATTTATCTAGTAAGGCGGGGTGTTACAATTGGTATCAGAGCACGTTTCTGCGTCTCTGATAAGTTTTCAGTCAGATAAGTATTCGGTAAGTAATTTTTCAGAAAAGTAACAGTCCAAAATTTTTCAGTAAAAACCCGAACCGTCATGTTCACGCCCCGCCGACGATAGGTAAGTGCGGTTGCGATACAGTTTTTCAGTCATTATAAACATATTACTTTGTCTATGCTCAGAATTGAGGATCAGAACTTAGTTAAGATGCTCGAATCAGGTTCAGACTCTAGAGGTTGGACATGACTCTAGACGTTAGGATTTTCCCGAGATGACTCTAAGTTTTTCAAGTTTTATGTTAGTATTTGTCGGCCATTGTTGGCGACTCGTGAAGAAATTTGTATGTCTAAGTAATCAGTTAGAATATTATCATATATTCAGTGATGTTAAATCTTTTCTAATATTCAGATGCCGCCACGTGGAGAGCCCGTTCAGCAGGGTCCTACACAGGCTGCGGTAGTCGCTCAGTTCCGCGACTATCACGCAAGGAAGTTTTCAGGTCAGGGCGACCCCCGGATCGTCGATGAGTGGATTCAGGGGTTGGAGTTTATCTTCGAAGTAATGGAATGCCCCGATAGGTTTCGTGTAGTCTGCGCTCAGCTTCAGCTCACTGGTGATGCAAGGCTCTGGTGGAATGCCTACTGGAGCATGCGTCCTGGTGAAAAAGCGGGTTGTACATGGGACATGTTCAAGGAACTAATCCGCGACAAGTACTACCCTTCCTACTATCGGGCAGAGATGGAGCGCCAGTTCTTAGCGCTCGAGCAGGGCACTCGTACTGTCGATGAGTACGAGCGAGAGTTCACCAGACTTGCAGGTTTTGCACCGGATCTTGTTCGCACGGAGGCCCAGAGAGCGCAGCGGTTCGTCGACGGACTATACCCAGCAGTCCGTCATAACATTGTGGGACACGGGACACAGACGTACGCACGAGCAGTTGCTATCGCCCAGGAGGTTGACGCTAGCATTAGGAGGGAGGCCGTTCGTGACCGTACTCAGCCAGTTGCCCCAGCTCAGCCAGTTGCAGTATTACCAGCTTTACCAGCTCCGCAGCCAGTAGGACAAGAAGAGGAAGGCGAAGGGTGCACAGGAAGACCGGAGGAACCGACCGAGACAGATTCCACCATGCCCGACTTGTGGTCGACTTCACAGGGGAGAGTGTCGTGCCGGACAGGATATTTGTTATTTCTGTCAGGAGCCGGGACATTTCGCGAGTCGTTGCCCGAAGAAGCTTCAGCAGCAGCCCCAGCAGCCACAGCTACAGCAGCCACGACAGCAGGCACAGAGACCGCAGCAGCAGCAGCAGCAGCAGAGAGG